ATCCACAGTATGAACCATGAAAAATAGGATTTATCCAGCAATCAACTAACCAAATCTAACCTTAATCAACCATGAATAGTTTTAAAAAAATCCTAGAAATTCTATTGGTTGATTTCCATAGCATCATGTTTCACTAACCAATCAGTCGTCCTATGTGAAGTCCTGATGCTTCGATCATCTTCGATCAACCTTTCAGATCCAACAGATCCAACGTAACGACGCGTCGCGAAGGTAACGACGCCTCGCCGTTCCCGGACGGAGCCCTCCACGTCGAAGTAGCGGTGACCTTCAAAAAAGTCACAGGGGATCCCCAGTTTTCAACAGGGAAATCATCTGGTGACTAACGTAGCATTCAACTGGTTGGTGGTGTTTCTTACCATCATGAAAAATATGAAAACCTATGGAAATCTATGGTTAATGGAAAATCTATGGTTAATGGAAAATCTATGACTAACGTAGCAGCTATACGTAGCTACTGAAAATGGCTGCGATGATTAGTTGATGTATGACTACTGATGTTTTCCCATTTTTACCTTTGAAATGATGATGTTCGGTTAGTTTACCGGAGGGTAAATCATCTATAATACATGCGCTATTTTTGCGCTTTAAGATCTTTAAGTTAGTTCACTGGAGGGGAATCCCATTTGTTGAAATAGATTAATTATTATTAATTACCCAAACATCCAGCACCCGCGTTGGTTTCTGTGTGGCGACGGTCTTTCTGACATTTCACTTCTGGATACAGCAGGGTTTCAAAACACCGCAGTCCAAACCATCTTGTGGTTGGTGGTTTCAACCAACCCAAAAAACACATGCTGTCAGTTGGAACCAGTCACAGGGTTGCTTTTTTGAAACCACCAACTAGAAAAAAGCGCTAACTGAGTCTTTTTCGGGATTGCTTTATATGGTTGATATGACGATGGCTTACAAGACGAAAACCCATCTATTGCAGAAAATTGACGCAGCTCGTGGCTATGAAGCACCAAATTATCACTGGTTATATAACTATAGAGACCCATGATAAAATTGGGATTCTAACTAGATACCAATGATAACTAAACACTGGTTATCATCACTGGAAAAAATCATCACTGGTTATTTTAACCACCTATTGTATCACCATTTTAGGTGCTTACCCTCTGGTAAACTAACATAGCTATGTAAAATCACAATTTTTAATGGGAAAACCTACTATAATGGCAATTTTCCATAGCTATGTTAGTTTACCAGAGGGTAAAATTGGTGAAAAAACCCATGGTGGAACCCTCCCAGGATCATCCTGCTGGGTGTGCCGACACAACTCTTCGCCCTTCTCCAAGTCTCTGGTGGCGATAAAAATCATGGCCTGCGAGTGGCACTTCTGTGTTTCACAATGATATAACATGATATAACTACTTTTAAGGTGGATACATATATACATACTTATGCATAAATATATATATATATATATATATATAATATTGATATACTACTTTGGGTGGATACATATGTACATAATTATACATACATACATATATATATATAATATTGATGTAGAACACATGCACGTACATATATTATCTACAGTATAATATTGAAAGTAGGTGTAACCTTGGCCTTTGTAGCCCCACAAATTGGTCTATAAATCCTGTGGCAGCAACTACCCTGAGAGGAAACCCACCGGGCCACGTGATCAATGGTTTTCAGGGAAAATTGAAGCTGGAAACCATTGATTTTAAACCCCAAAGATACGGGTCGTCACGGGTTTTCTATAAATTGAGCGAAGTCTGGGCATTGATCAAACAAATGTTGGGGTCACCTTATATCGATCCATACTCAACTTTCGCGCTGCGATCTGCCAGTGGGTGATAATATGTCATGTCAACCTAGATGAAGAACCCCCAGGGGATTGCCGATAAAAATGTGGGGTGACCAGTCGGTCCATGTCAAGTGCTTCACGAAGCTACCGTTTTCCAATTGGTGGTGTAGCATCCGCTGGAAGTATCCAAAGCCATGTTCCTGTGTTTAAGCCAAAGCAAGGAGCCCCAAAATCCAGTTGCTAAGAAAATGTTAAAAAATATGTCCCCAGTCAGATATATTTAAGATTATTAAAATATCATTTGGGCTAGACTAAGCATGGATAATTACTAATCATGGATAAATTCATAATCACTATATTCATATTACTAATCTTGTACTAGTTATAGTTATTGGTTACCCTCTGGTAAACATACAAAAAACTATGGAAAATCACCATTTTATACATTTTATAGCTGGGTCAATCAACTATTTCTATGGCCATGGCTTCAATAGCTATGTTTGTTTACCAGGTGTTTTGCTGTGTTATGAATTTACACCTAACTAGTAATATCAAAGTTGTAATTATAGTATCTTGGTTATTACTATTACTGGTTGGCGGTATACCTACCCCTCTGAAAAATATGAGTGAGTGAAAGTCAGTTGGGATGATGACATTCCATGCCATTCCCAAGTGAATTTGGAAAGTCATAATCCATTCCATGGTTCCAGTCACCACCAAGCAGTAATGGGTATGTAAATCTTTTTCATGGATTGATGACCATTCCCAAAATTCATAGAACTGGATGATGGGAAAATTTACATGAAAGCCCAACCAATTTGATGGTAAAAACCATGGTTTCCGTTTAAGATTTTCCCTTAAACCAATCCATTCCCTAAATCCCTAAGTCATCACCATGGGATGTTCCAGTCACCACCAGGTGCTTATTCCCATAGAGTTCAGAAGGGTTTTTTTTATCGGGCGACTCGCTGGTGAAATCCCCAATGAAGTCACTGAATCCCCAAAGACGTGTATATATATATACCCTCTGGTAAACTAACATAGCTATCGAAAATGGCCATTTATATCCATTTATAGTGGATTTACCCATTAAAAATAGTGATTTTCCATAGCTATGTTAGTTTACCAGAGGGTATATACATATATGGATTAATATGGGTTCATTAACATGGATCAATATATGATATATATGGATCAATATATGGATTATATTGGATTAATATGGTATACCAATATATGGATCAATATATGGGTCAATATATGGATTACCCGGCCTGGTAAACGTTTACATAACGAACTAAAAATCCACCATTTTTTAATGGGAAAATTCAATATTTCTATGGCCATTGTCAATAGCTTTTTGTTAGTTTACCAGAGGGTAATATGGTATACCGTATACCTCATTCTTGCAAAGGCAAATTCCATGGATTCCCCAAAAAGTTCTGCGATTGGCGCCATGGTGGGGCCTTCTCAAAGAAGACTAAGACCAGCTTCAGGGCCGTGACGTCACAACCTGATGGCAGTTAGGCCAAAAATATGGGGGTAACATGGGGTAACCCATGGGCAGCATCTTTTGGGGATTTGGGGATTTCTATGGATTATTTGCCGATAGATGAGGTTTACTTGACGATTGTTTACTCGCAATCGTAGCCTCCAGTGAAAAACGTTTGTTGCTATGGTAGCCGCTAGTTCGAAATGTATGTATATATAATTATACATATATATATATATATATTATTATCATTACTATTATTGTTATTATGAAATTATTACTATATATATAATATGTTTTAGAAAAAAAAACATATTATAAATATCTTATTATCTCATATATATATATGATATTGTAAAAAAATATATAATATATTATTTTATATATTATATTATATTTTATTATATTAGTTTGCATTATATTATTTTACATTATATTATTTTACATTATAATATTTTACATTATATTATTTTACATTATATATATGTATATATCTCTCTCTACCATTTGCAGCATATCATAGGAATTCCAATCCGTAATCCGAATAGATTCCATGTTTCTCGGGATCCACCTTTTCTCGGGGCGGTCCATGGGAATCACCATCCGCGACCCGCGACAAAGGCACTGTGATTCAGCATGGACGGCAGGCCATATAGGGCGGCTTCACCTCAAGGTTTGGCGAAAGGTCAGGAAAAAAACCTGACAAATATCGAAAAAAACAATGACTGGTTGGTGGTGCAATAACCATCTTTTAAAATATGAAAGTCAATGGGAAGGATGATTATCCCATATATGAAATGGAAAATAAAAAATGTTTGAAACCACCAACCAGCAATATGTTCATATTCTTCCCCCGATGGGTATCATTGCAAAGCGATTATTTCATGATTAAAGTATAACCAAATCCGTCTTTTGAAGGAGTCAACTAAAAACAGGTTGAGATACTGAATGCATAAAAAAAGATACTGTAGTCCAATGATAATTCAGAAGCAAACACATCACAAACATACCTCAAGTAGGTTCCTGTCATTTTCAGCAACTTGACGTTGGAGCAACCGAACTGACACCATTGGAGTCCACATGAGTCGATGATAAAAACCACACAAAGTCAAGCTGTAAAAAATGGTGCAACCCCATGCGTTTGGATTTAGATCTTTCGTTTCTACCATATGATCCATATATGATCCATATATATATATGATCCATATGTGTTTCATTGTGTTTCTATTCTATTCAGTTCTTAAATTCATTCTGCAAAGATATAACAACAATTATAACAATAATCATCACGATTGTTGGTTTGCCGGAATTATGCTTGTAATGTTTACAGCTCCCCAGTAAACCACCAATAAAAACCACCGGCAAATCGCTGGTTTCCTGTCGCCCCAGGTCTCCCGGCCAGAATGATCCACAACGAAGACCTTGGTTTCGGCGTTGTGCAAGCCGCGCGGTGGGAGACGAGGGGGGGCGATTCACCCAGAATGGGGAAACAGTAACAGAGTGTCGGGATATGATATGCAGAATCAATCTGATTCTTCTGATGATGATGATGATGATGGTGGTGGTGGTGATGATGATGATTCCTGATTCTGATTCTGATTCTGATCATTCTCATGTTCATTTTCATTCTCATTCTGATGATTTTGATTCTGAAGATCATGGATCTTAAACATGTATCTAGACTCCACGCTACCGCATTCCGCCCTCGGCTTTTCCTTCATTCGCTGGATCGCTCCGTCCTCGGCTCATGGTAGTAGTAGAGCCGGGTCGAGGTGCCGAAGCGGATGCCGTCGCCTTTGAGCTGCTTCAGAACAAAATCTATAGATATTATATGATAGATATGATATATCATAATATAGGATATCATATAATAATATAAGATTTTTATAATTATCATGGATGTCATATAGGTACATAATGTTACATAACACTTCATCTTGATACGAAAAAGTCGACAAAAAATGCAATAAACCGAACTGGCAAAGCTAAGTCACCATTCTTCAAGAGCACCCGGAAGTTCTTCTCGATCCGTTGTCCTTGAACGAAGACGCCGTGCTGCGAGTTCAAATCCGTCAGATAGATCCCAGCGGAGCCGCGAGAAAGGGCGGCATGTTGCCTGGCGGGGCAAGGCCGGCAAGGCGCAGTGGGATGCCTGACATGAAATATTTAACCGTAGAAAAATGAGAGAAGAATGATAGGAAAACCGGAGAACCATAGGAGAAGGGTGATTTAACCAACACAAATGGATACAAATGGTGATTTTTCATGGGATGCATATGGATGTTTTGTTGATTCTTGATACAGTAGCTAAGTTGGTACATCCGATTCCCAAATCCCTACAATGTGATGCCCCCAAATGATAGGCTGGCTGTGGGTTTTACCAATCCCAAAGTTATATCATCGTCATCTCAATCCATTGGTTATCTGGGAATCCATTGATCTATGTTGCTTGATTCAATGCCAATAAATCACCATTCCTGTCAGAAAAAAGGTGTTGTTGGTTAATTCCTGTTCATTCTTGATTTTCCTGTATGGATTTCTCACGTTAAACATCGTTAAACATCGTTAAACATCGTTAAACCATGTTAAAAACTCATTTCTCCATGACTTTGGCAGCTTTTCACCCAGGAAACGTCGCGCAAAGATCGCAAAGTGCGCCTGGAAACGCTCGGATGATTCATCACCACATCCACTTCGCCTACGGCTCTGCCCAGCGTCCAGCGTTGCGAACCCACGAGAGCGAAGCGGTCCACCCATTTGTCGTCCTGGTTGGTGGAAGCGACCAATGAGAAGATTAACCTTCAATGTATCAGATACATTCAGATACCAGAGTGCTGTATTTTAATAGGGATTTCTGAAAGGGATAACTTAACATAATGAAGAAATCTGCAAAAAATGATGCCAAAACTTTTTTGATGCTGGGAGGGGGGGTGGTTTGGAAAGGTATGTCATGAGGTGGGGGGTTTTGGAGGGTCTCTCATGGTATGGCATTCATGGGCTACATGGTTTGTCATGTCCAGTTATGTTACATGGCATGGCACGCATGGAATACATGTCGGGGGCTTGTCATGTCATGGCATGACATGGCATGCATGGAATACATGTCGGGGGCTTGTCATGTTAGGGCATGGCATGGCATGTATGGAAAACATGTCGGGGGCTTGTCATGTCATGGCATGACATGGAATACATGTCAGGGGCTTGTCATGTTAGGGCATGGCATGGCACGCATGGAATACATGTCGGGGATTGCCATGTCATGGCATGCATGGAATACATGTCGGGGATTGCCATGTCACCATGCATCTATGTTGCCATGCCATGTCCAGTGGTTCAAAAGCTGGGCCGTGCAGCCAAACACTTCAGCTGAACTTTGGCCGGATTAGTGCTCCTGACCTGTTTACCTTGGTCGAAGAAGCCGTGTGGGCACCGCAATCATGTTGTACTGTAATCCTGCTGCAACCCCGACACGCCATTCCGCTCAACAGGCCCAACAGGCTTGCATGGCATCTTGTGTTGATGTGTTGATTCTAATAGTTCTCAGTCAATATATCCCCGCACCAATTTGTCACTGATTTGTCACTGTTCATTTTTTTTTGACTGTTGGCCGTGCACGTCGACTAAGAGCAAAGTTCTCTCACATCTTCCATGGCGGCTGGTTCCACTGGGACTACCTATGGGACTATCCAGCTCATAGCATGTGGTCGCAAGTTTGAGTACCGTGGATTTCACGGACAGTAGCTTGACTTGCAATTGCCATGGACTCATGACCTGACATGACCATGCCACATGACCTGTACATGACCTGTCACATGAGCTGTCACATGACCTGTAGCATGGCCTGTTGTTCGGCAAGTATTGACGGGATGTGACAGTGCCTATGGTCTCTGAGGGGGGACTCAACTGACGGTGCCTTGGTGCTCAACTTCCAAACGGGGTGGGGGCGAATGACTTCTTTTTGGGTGGCGTTGTGCCATGGTTGCTTGTTTTTGCATGTGCTAGGATATGCTGTGTGATGATCTGATATCTAGGTTGGGCACCGCAATCATGTGCATGACTTTGGGGCCAATACACACGGTCATGTCATTTTCATTAGAGCTCGTGAGGCTTCCGCAGAGCACTTGTACCTCATCCAAAGGCTTCGGACCACGCAGAGTTTGTCATCCTGGAAGTGTATGCGGACACTCTCTTCCCTCATCGTATCCTGAAATGACATTGCATGAAGTTGTGTTTGGCATTCATGTGTTGGCATTGCATGGCCATACATCATGATGACATGGCATGGTTTGACATGATGACATGGCACGGTTTGACATGATGACATGGCATGGCATGGCACGGTTTGACACAATGACATGACTTGCCATGAGTTGTTAGGATGACATGACATGACATCAGGTGGCATGAGCATAAGTGGCATGCATGACATGCATGACACAAGATGCCTTAGCACGACCATGGTCAGTACTGATTTGCTGGCCATTGAATCCTGAGACTTCACCGACAAGAGACACGGGGAGAAGAACACTGGCCTCGATGACAGCTGTTAAAACCAGCTTTTGGAAGACCACCCGGATGTGGTGAAGTGGGCGAAGAATTTGGCCAGAACCCTCTTGCCCCTTGACGGCAGGTGGGTACTGGATGAAACATCCGAAAATGAGGAAGCTTCAGGTGGTCCCGAGCCTATCTTGGTGTCGGAGATTGAACCTGAGGGTGAAGGGCCTGTTGAGAATCCTTCCGCTTCTGAGCCTTCTGGGAGCTCTAGCTCAAAGAGAGTGGAACCTGAAAAACAATGAATGTAGTATGCATAAATGTTAGGCACATGAATGCGGAACTTAATTTTCCAATGAAGGGACTAATCACCCACGGACTCATGGCAAAGAGCGAATGGTTAAACATATCCCTGTTGGAATTCGGACCAAACCTGGGGTTCCATTCTAGAGGGACTAAAACAAAAACCCAGGACTAAGGGGTGGTGATTTTCCCTATAGAATAGAAACCCAAGAAAGCCAACAACCCCCTGCCACTCCTATAAAATGAAAACCCAGCCTTATACTGGCCACCGCTTGGAACAAATAATCCACTATAGAATGAAAAATTGGGTCCCAGTGATTAGGAAAAAGACACCTTATAGAATAGAAAACTGGGTTTGCAATGCCTTAAGTTTGGTTTCACTTTTTGGATCTGGGCTGGCACCATTCCACAAAAGAATATACTTGGTGACTATTTTACAGAGGGGGGGTTGGATTACCATTTTATAGGAACTGATCCAAGAGGAGCCGTGCCTCAGCATGGCCAGGCTCAGAAACATTCATATAATGATGTGTATATATTACAATATATATATATATGAAAATAAATCTATGTATCTATCTATCTATCTATCTATCTATATATTATATTTTTTTTAAAAAAGTTATACGCATGTATACGCACTATTATTTTGCCTACTGACAAGCCCCCTGCCACTCTTATAAAATGAAAACCAAGCCTGACACTGACAAACCACTATAGAAATACTGAAATACATAAACACATAATATACACACTATAGAATAAAACGCTCGGTCCTAGTGGTCAAGAAAAAAAAACCTACTGAATAGAAAACATTATTTCCAAGGCCCAAAATGTGGTTCACGTTTGGATCTGAGCTGGTGCCTTTCAAAAAAGAAACATCCTTGGTGACAATTTTTTGGAAGTGGTGTTGGATTTCCATTTTATAGGAGCAGCCCTGCTAAAAACTGACTCGTTAACAGTAATGATTACTTTTTCTGTTACACACTTTAATTTGCACTGTCATTGCCCACTGACACTCCCCTCTCCCCCTCCTATAAAATGAAAACCCAGCCGGACACTGACCACTACTTCCAAAAGATTATCCACGAGTGCCCTACTGACTAGAAAACGCTATTTCCAAGGCCCAAAAGGTGGTTTCACATTTGGATCTGAGCACCATCTGAGCTGGTGCCTTTCAAAAAAGAAACATCCTTGGGGACAATTTTTTGGAAGTCCCGCTGGATTTCCATTTTATAGGAGCAGCCCTGCTAAAAGCTGATTCGTTAACAGTAATGATTACTTTTTCTGTTGCACACTTTAATTTGCACTATCATTGCCCACTGACACTCCCCCCTCCCCCTCCTATAAAATGAAAACCCAGCCGGGCACTGACCACTACTTCCAAAAGATGATCCACGAGTGCCCTACTGACTAGAAAACGCTATTTCCAAGGCCCAAAATGTGGTTTCACATTTGGATCTGGGCTGGCACCTTTCAAGAAAAGAAATCTTGGGGACAATTTTTTGGAAGTGGTGTTGGATTTCCATTTTATAGGAGCAGCCCTGCTAAAATCTGATTCGTTAACAGTGTTGATTACTTATTCGTTTGCAGTATGTTTCAATATTTTACAGTATCATACAGCATTTACAATATTATTGCCCACTGACACCTCCCCTTCCACTCGTATAAAATGAAAGCCCAGCCTCATACCCACCGTTTGGAACAAATTATCGACTATAGAACGGAAAACTGGGTCCCAGTGATTATGATTAGGAAACATGCCCCCTCTAGAATAGAAACCGCTATTTCCAAGGCCCAAAATGTGGTTCACGTTTGGGCTGGCACCTTTCAAGCAAAAAAATCCTTGGGAACCATTTTTAGAGGAGTGGTTGGATTTCCATTTTAAAGGAGCAGCCCTGCACAAAAATGATTCGTTAACAGTGTTGGCCACTTATTTGTTTACAGTATGTTTCAATACTTTACAGTATCATACAGCATTTACAATATTATTGCCCACTGACACCTCCCCTTCCACTCCTTTAAAATGAAAACCCAGCCTCATACCCACCGCTTCTAGCAAATACTCCACTATAGAATGAAAAACTGGGTCCCAGTGATTAGGTGCCCCCTATAGAATAGAAACCGCTATTTCCAAGGCCCAAAATGTGGTTCATGTTTGGGCTGGCACCTTTCAAGCAAAAAAATCCTTGGGAACCATTTTTAGAAGAGTGGCTGGATCTCCATTTTGAAGGAGCAGCCCTGCACAAAACTGATTCGTTAACAGTGTTGGCCACTTATTTGTTTGCAGTATATTTCAATATTTTACAATATCATACAGCATTTACAATATTATTGCCCACTGACACCTCCCCTTCCACTCCTTTAAAATGAAAACCCAGCCTCATACCCACCGCTTCTAAAAAATAATCCACTATAGAGTGATTAGGAATCATGCCCCCTACAGAATAGAAACCGCTATCCCCAAGGCCCAAAATGTGGTTCACGTTTGGGCTGGCACCTTTCAAGCAAAACAATCCTTGGGAACCATTTTTAAAAGAGTGGTTGGATCTCCATTTAAAGGAGCAGCCCTGCACAAAACTGATTCGTTAACAGTGTTGGCCACTTATTCGTTTACAATTTTTTGCAGTCACTATTATTGCCCCCTGACACCTCCCCCTTTCACTCCTATAAAATGAAAACCCAGCCTCATACTGGCCACCGTTTGGAACAAATTATCCACTATAGACTGGAAAACTGGGTCCCAGTGATTAGGAAACATGCCCCCTACGGAATAGAAACCGCTATTTCCAAGGCCCAAAATGTGGTTCATGTTTGGGCTGGCACCTTTCAAGAAAAGAAATCGTGGGGACCATTTTTTTGAAAAGTGGTTGGATCTCCATTTTGAAGGAGCAGCCCTGCACAAAACTGATTCGTTAACAGTCTTGGCCACTTATTTGTTTGCAGTATACTTTCAATATTTTACAGTATC